AATATGGGGTGTGAACAAACACTCTCTCCTCTTCCAACATTAATCCTACATTCCTTTGGTGCTCCTCACACTCGCGGGCATAATGTCCTCTCACACCACAGTTGTAGCATCGGCCACCTCCCCTGGGCGGCCACTCGCTAGTCACTCTGGCGGTACCACTTGCAGACGTCCCCTGGGTCCTCCTTGGACTCCCTGTCGTCGTATCCGGGACTGCAGCACTTGCTCCCGAGTTAGGTCCACTGCTCACAGCTTGGGGCTTCCTCCCCGCGTCTCTTGAGCTCTTGAACCGCGTTACTTCATCGGGCACACTACTCTTGGGAGAGTCCCCACCCGTCCTCGCTCCTCCTGAACTCCTAAGGTTCCCTCCCGACCTGGGGTAAGGCGAGTGTCTGGGCGGCCCCTCCCTCCTGATATGTAGTGCCTCCTCCAGCATGTCGGCTCGGTCCGCTGCAGCCTTCAGGTCCTTAATACCTGCTTCTCTCAACCTTACTCGCAACTCAGGATGGAGCACCGACATGAACTTCTCCATCACTATCAGTCGTTTGATATCATCCACCGACTCCGCTTCCTCCGCCTTCAACCATCGTAGGAATTTCCGTTCCATATCCCTGGCGGTCTCGGCGTAAGTCTTTCCCGACGCTCTTGTACACTCTCTGAACCGCTTCCGGTACATCTCCGGAGTCAGCCGGAATGAGTGGAGAACCGCATTCTTAATCGCGTCATAACTAGTACACTCCTCTAGGTCCAGCATGTTATAGGCTTCCCGGGCCTCACCAGTCAACCTGCCCTGGACCAGAGCAGCCCAATCATCTTCCGGCCACTCCTTCAGAGTTGCTATCCGTTCAAAGTGTTCGAAGAACGCCTCAGCTTCTTGTGGTTCGAACGTAGGTAAGTCACGTTCCCTTACCTTGAGGTCATCCCGCCGTGCAGGTAGTGAGGGCAGACCACGTTCAACGCGACGCAATTCGACTTCTTTCTTTGCCCTTATCTCCTCCAGTCGCAGTTGTCTCTCTCCTTCTTCCCGCTGCAGCCGAGCTTCTCGCTCCTCTCGCTGCAGCTCAGCCGCACGTTCCTCTCGCTGCAGCTCAGCCGCACGTTCCTCTCGCTGCATTTGCGCTTCTCTCTCCTCTCGTCGCAGCTGGGCTTCCAGTTGCATCTTCATTATTTCCAGTTGCAGGCTCCTCTTACTACAGCTGGACCTTCCACTGCTCCCATGTTCACTGTGAATTCTCTCCACACTGGTAGGCGCTTGGGGAGGCCCTAGTCGGGACGGTTCACCTTGCGACGGCTCTCCTCGGGACGGCTCCTCTTGAGATGGCTCCTCTCCCGTCGCTTCCTCTCGAGCTGTGAGCTGTGCCATGATCTCTATCCTTCGCTCCGCTACCTTAGTCGTCCTCAACCTGATCCCAAAGTGGTTTGCCACTTGTTGGAGCTGGGCCTTGGTACACTCTTCCAAAATTCTCTCGTCCCTTGTGTCAATAAATTTCTTTACTTTGTCTTCCTCCATCTCTATATCATTGAGCATACACGACAGCACAGACAAGTTAGTAGGCACTAATTTCACCGTTTCAGTCCCTTAGCCGGTTGAGTAACAGTACCACCGAATTCACTGGCCACACTGTATTAGTACCCTGGCAACACTTGTCTTGAAATTTGGTCCACACTGTAGCTTGATCCACGCTTCCTGGCGAAGTTCCCAGTTCTTGGCTACTGGGGTTCGAATCCTGGCAAGGTCGCCAGTTCTCTTGTCACGTGGGGGTGGGCGGTCCGGGGCTCTGCTAACACTCGGCTGCTAGGGGCTCAAAGGCCCAAATACTCAGCCCCTCCGACTCCCTGGATTCACCGGAGTCTCCTTGGTCACACAAGAGAGGACCAACAATGCCCACCTCCGCAGGTCTTTGCTTCCACCACAAAGGGGTGCCACTGATTCACCCTGGAAGCCCTTCAGTCAAACACGGGGAAACTGCTGTTAACAGTTCCGGCCTAGACCCGTGGGGGAGTGAAGGAAGACTCAGGCTTACCTATAACCATAACCTCCCTGAGTCTTGCCTGCCAGACAAAAAAAGGTTGCAGGAACTCCTTTCCCGCCTGTCTTCTCTATCTTCCTCTTAGCAAGGTCGCCAGCTGGGTTATTATATATGCACCCCAGCAATGCAGTTCAGTGGGTGTATTATATATTGTTTGTAGCCAGAAATGTATGCTCATAGAGAAATATAAATGGAGGCACACTCAAACACAGTGATAAAATGTGTGGATTTACTGATGCAAATTACATGAACACACACACACAATCACAAGTAATACATGAATATGGAATATGGATAATGAGTCTGGAGATCGTCAGCCTCCTCTTCCACGACCTCCAACACTCCTTCAACTGGGCAGAAAGACAGGAGTCTCACACTCTCACAGGAGGGCCTCTTCACCACGTCGGCGCCTCTTCTTCACTGTCCACCCATCCATACACACTGTCCTCTGTGACAGTCCTGGACACAAGCTGCCTTGCAGCCTATTCTACTATTAAGGTAATAAAGTCTTGCTGCCACATACACAAGTAAATATTGTGGCCTAACTAGCCTACTCATACAAGGGGTAATGGGAGGGAAAATGATCTACCTTACATTCCTGGCTCACGACGCCTGTCCCTCGATGGTGTGAGGTTCCCACGCTTCCCTGGGTCGATCCTTGACGATCCAGGACGTTCCACAGGTCCTCAGGTGTCGTGGAGCCTTCGCATCGTCGCCGTTCCAATCCCTGAGATTCAGCTGCCCCAATCCTGGTTCATCGATGGGCGCTGAGCTAATCACTATTTTTCCCCACACTCGCCTCTCCCACAAGGCGTTGCTCCTTGTCCTAGGCACGGTGTCGTCCTTCCAAGATTCTCAGTGGATGTGACCCCAGTCACAGCTAGGCCTGCCCGCCCACCTTCCAGACCTCAACGTCCAGCCAGCGGCGCCGCCCAGCGTCGTCGCCGACTATTTTCCAAGTTTGGCACTTCTCTGCTCACTGAACTTGGTTCCTCTTTTGCTTCCCAGAAGCGCAGGGTCTCCAATAACTATGATGGGCTGCGATGGCCAGCTCAATCCACTGAACAAGGCTTGCAGAGCCTCCAATCCTTGAGAGCAGACCGAGGCGCGTCCTGTCGCTTCCAAGGTCAGAACAACTCTGACGTTGGCGCCGCCCGGGGCACTCGGTGACGTCATGGCGGGCCCTGATTTGTCGCCCGCGACCTACGTCGGCCAATCCGCGATCGGCTTGTGTCCCTTCCAAAAGGTCATATCTGCCGTAGGGGATACTGTTTCATTTTATAACAGGGCGCCAATTTTCCTTTATTTACAACTTATAATATAACTTCCTTCCCTTAACTGGCAGCCGGTCTGGTCGCCACATATATCATTAGACTCCCTGAACCTCAGAGAATCAGTAGGGAGAGCTGATATGACTCTTTAAGCCGGCAAACGAAAGAAATAGGAGAGGGCACCGTAACAATATATATATATATATATATATATATATATATATATATATATATATATATATATATATATATATATATATATATATATATATGATTACTGCTATTATTACAAGTGCCCTTTGACAGGAACAATTGAAGAGGAAGCACTAGTTACTTGGTACACCAGTACACGGTGTTGATGCCAGCCTCAACCACGAGGATTATTTGGTGTGATCATCCTTGTTCATAACTGGAGGACCAAGCCTATCTACTAAAAGATAAGGCCTCCCAATTTTAATTACTAATATATGTAGTTTAATACTGTAGTGAATGTCTGCTAATCAATAAATTTGATTGACTACATATATGAGCCATAAACCCCCTATAATGCGTAAGGAAAGTGATTTGTGAGAATTCTTAGAAATACAGTCCACTTCGTCATACAATTTGCTATCGAAAAATATAAAATAATGTAAAATACAAATTCTATATAAATTAATATAAATCAAATATAAATCTCACAGGTCAACCCCCACACTGGTTGGCCACTTGGTTAGCCTGAGTTCAATTCTCTCATAGGGTATGGGACTCGAACCGTGGATCCCACGCGAATGAGGCCGTAGCACTACCAACTCGGCTATGAGTAGTCTTAAAAAGGAAAGTTTCCCTTTTAAGGTTCTCGAACCGTGGAAAGTTGGGGTAAACGGTTCGAGACCCATACAGTCCAGGTGAATGGAATGTTTATTTCCACGGATGTGGATGGCAATTTATATCTCCTGTTTTTTCTCCTACAGTGTGGCTTGTTGAGCTTGACGCTGTTTTCCCTTGTATGTGTTACATTAAATTAATTGTGATGATGAGCTTGTGTGTGTTACATCTGACCTTTTAAAGAAGTGGCCTTGACTAACCTCCCCTCGTTCTAGCTACCCCCTTTCTTTTGTCCCATCGTCCTGCTATTCTGGCTTGGGATGTTATCATGCCTTGGGCTATTATCCAGACTTAGGCTGTTATCTTGATTTATGTTGTTATCCAAGTTTGGGCTATTATCCATGTTGGGATTATTATCAAGGCTTCGCCTGTTCCTGTCTTGGGAATAAGCAATTAGTAAATAACACTTACCATCCAAGAACGAATTTTGGGGGGGTTTTGTTGTGAAATTTGTCACAAAAGTTGGGACCAGAAGAAAACCATTGTTCCCTACATAAGATTTAACTACTCCTTGAGGGTATCTTAACTGATATTAATATATAATTATCAATAATAACCACACAAATCTGCAATTAAAGTTAATCAAAATTACACTGATAATTGGTTGACTCCTAATATCCATTGATAAAATAGTACAGTAATTATTTAGTTCAAACACCATTTTAATGTTGTAGCACCTGAGGCCTGTTATAAGCTACTGCTGTCATATTTCGTCATACGAAGGCCACTTTTTACTAAACAAACACGTTGTATGAGGCATCACGTTGTATTAGGTTGTATGCGTTCAAATACGTCAAAAACAAACTTGAATAAAACAGATCAAGTGTTTTATTGATTTAACGAAATAGTGCTATACTGACTGTATTCACTTTGTGACGTTCATGTGACGTTAACCATCCTCTAAGGGTTAAGAACTTCTTTTCCAGGAATATGTTATGATGCAAGATAATTATTTTAACAAGTTATCCCATTTCGCAGATATACACACTGAAGGAGGAGGTGCTGTTGAGGGAGGAGACCTGGAGACCATCTCCCTGTGATGTTTATATCTTCATGCTGATGGAGGGAGACACGTTCATCCATCATGCTGATGTCAGCCATTATCACGTGTCCACCGCCAACCATCAGTCCCCCCACGCCCTCTGGAACTACCACGCCTACTACATACTTCTTCTCTTCCGCTCTGGAAACGCCACTCTCAATCCCTCAAATGTAGCAAAACTTTACAACTTGAGGAAAACTGAGAAATTACTGATCTTACAGCAACGAGAGAATCATCTGGTGGCATGGACCCACCAGCTGTATTCCACCTCGACAAAACTAACCTTTCTTGACACCTGGAGGGACGGAAAATTCCAAAGAGGCGGGACTCTCTTCCCGGAGAAGCTGGTTGATATGCAAGGAGCTGTCTTACGTGTGGCCACGTTTGATCATCCTCCGAGCGTTGTCTACGTCCGTGACGACCACCAGAGCGTCGTCGGCCGCCTGGGAGTTGACGTACAGATTGTGAAAACACTTGCAAGGGCTAGAAACTTTTCAATCGAATATATTGAAATTAGCCCTGATGAGATGTGGGGATTTGAGCTTCCGAACGGCACTTGGGTCGGCCTGGTTGGGAAGGTGTTCTATGAGTTGGCAGACATTGGCACATGTAATCTGTTCATAGAATTATACAGGTGGAAACAGCTTGATTACTCAACTCCTTATAACTTCGACCGCGGCTGCTTCGTGGCTCCCGCCCCCAAGCCACTGTCCAGTTGGAAGTCTCCTGTGATGCCATTCACTTGGGACACGTGGAGCTCTGTGGTCGTGGCTCTGGGAGTGGGCGGTGGCCTCCTGTATCTTGTGGCCACTCTCAGCCACAGTCCAGAGTCAGCAGACTTCCGAAGTCTGTCTTATGATTACCTTTACATCCTGGGCGCCTTAACAATGCACTCCCTTAAAATTGTACCATTGAACGCACCGATGCGCGTGTACATGGGGTTTGTGTGGCTGTTTGGTCTCATCGTCGCTACAGCTTACTCTGCCAATTTGGTGGCTTTTTTATCCTTCACTCCAATGTCAACACCAATCGACACATTAGATCAACTATCAAAAAGCAGCCTGCAGATTGGCAGTCACGCCTTCTGGCAGACACAGTTTTCTGAGTCCACAGACCCAATTATTCGTGGCTTTGCTGACAATTTAGTAACTAATGTAGACCTTCACTCTCTCTTTGATGCTGTCAAAGATGGGAAATTTTCCCTGATCGAAAACAAGCAATATTTAGAGCTGGAGATTGGCTCACGCTTCACGTATGGTAGTCACACCTTTATTCGCGTTGTGTCCGAGTGCCTTCTTACTTACAGCATCGGCCTCGGCTTCCAGAAGAACTCCCCTTTAAAGTCTTATTTCGACGGCCTCATCTTGCAGTTGTTTGAGTCTGGAATGATATACAAGTGGCAGAAGGAAGTTGTGGCATACTTCAGGGCCCAATACGCCAGCAGGCGACCCACTGATCAGGAGGACTCACGTACCAGGCCCCTTAACTTGACCCACCTCCAAGGCGTGTTCCATGTGCTGGGCATTGGATGCCTTGCCTCGGCATTACTTTTGGTGCTAGAAATAATCGGCACCACACGAACACACCGGAACACTTTCTCGACAGCTAACAATCTTATCAGGTAATTCCTTGAATGTGGTAGTTCTTAAAGTGTTAGACAAATTTATCAACATTTGCGTATTCTATGTGTCTATAATAAGTAGTTCACAACCGAGAGTTCCCGCTGAAGGTAAATAATTATGTGCCTATATATATATATATATATATATATATATATATATATATATATATATATATATATATATATATATATATATATATATATATATATATATATATATATATATATATATATATATATATATATATATATGCGTCTTGGTAGCAGTTTTGTAGCTACTTACAGCAATTATTTGTGGCTAAAGCAGAAAAGCATACATTTGTACACCAATGCCTCATGAAAAATTACCATGTATTACCTTTGGATAAATTAGATTTGATAAATCTTTTGTTTGTTTTCAAAGTATATGTAGCATCAAACATATAACAAAAATAAAATAACGTAACACATTCTCAGTGTAACACGGGGAGGGTGTTCTCGAACTTATCTATCCTTCTTTCCCCCCCTCTACCCGTATTCTTACTTTTTGTTCTCTACAAGGGACTCCAAAACTTTTACTAAAGCCGACTCCACGCCACGTGGTCCTAAGACGATTGACCGACTTAGGATTCTACAACCCGTATGACGTGACCTAGGCTTTGAGCAAAACCCTAGAGTCGCCTCCGCCGCCACCACCAGACCAGTAACACTGAGCAATGATCGAGGTCTGGATCGATCATGCTAATAAATCAACCTTGGGGCTTGATCCCCACTAGTAACAGATGACCTTGGAAACTTAGAGTGTGGAATTAATTACACGGGAATGATGAATTCCGACTCGATGTTAGAATCGGCGCCCAATCCAACTCTGCCTCGTGTGGACCACGTGACCAGGACAAGTTCACATACTGTACATATAACAAATACATGGAAATAATAAAAATGCAAAATATTAACTAATTAATTTATTAAAAGAAAACTAAAACAAAATCTAAATATGTTCACTCCCTGTCACTTTAACACTCCCTACTTGACCTGAACGGCAATGAATTGACTATCCCTATAAGGACTCATAAAGCAACTCTACCTTGGGCGACCAGCTCTAGATGTTGGGGGCTGGTCTTGGGAGAGAGGTAAGATGGTTGACCTCTCCCAGTTGATCTGGCGTCCACACTGATCTCTCCTCGTCTGGTCTTCCCCAGACTAGAGCATTGTATTGTTCCGCATCGCTTACCAAGTTACTTAGCCAGGTTTAAGTTATAACAATTAACCTCTGTTGTACTTAATTGATCCAGACTGGTTGAATTATTTTACTGAAGTTAAATTACACAAGCATCTAACGGCAGAGCTGTTCCCGTTCCCCAAAATGGTTAATTGAACTTTGAGAAATAGTGGACATGTCAACTCTGATGACCTATGACCGCCGGTCACTCGCGCCTTACAACTTAGATCTGATTCGTGACGTCACTGATGGTGACTTAACTCAATAATTAGAATACTCTTGATATTGTACCCAGTAATATTATACAATACAATTTTAATACAAAATGAATAAAGGCTAATTTCTCTAAATTACTGAATACTATAGAATGGTTCATTATACGAAGCTATGAACAAGGCGTCGATTATTTTCACCGCGAATTCCCTAGGGGTCAGGTCCCGGGTCACCACGCGGGCCCAGCTTCCCATTCTCTTTTGTCGATAAACCACTCTGGATAATTCTTACAACCAGCCTAGTTTGTTACATCAGGATAAATATTTTTTTAGAAGTTAACCCCAAAATCTTTTATAAAAAACTTTTTATTTTTTTTTATAAAAAAATTTTTTGGGGAAGTGGGTAGTACAAGATACAGTGGGAGTTTGAAGCAGAAGGTAGGAAACTATGAGGTTAAAATTAGATACTTTTTGGTTTTACTTCTGAATAGGGCATAGGTTGGAATTTTTTTTAATTCATTAGGGAATGAGTTCCAAAGATTTGGGCCCTTTTATTTGCATGGAGTGTTTGCACAGATTTAATTTAATAACTCCTAGTTTAATTTAATAATTCCGAATTTAATAACAATTGTGTCGCAGGACGAACAGGCAGTGTACATATACATGTTGGGCTTATATAGAGATTTCCTCCAAGGACGAACTACTAAACTTCCCCAAGATGAAACCACAACCCCTGGATTTACTGCTGGGTGAACAAGGGTCCCGGTAGTACAGTTGGGTTCGTTCTCGACTCACACTCCAGAATCCCGGGCAGGACAGAGATGGTTGGGCGCATTTCCTATCACCTAATGCCCCTGTCCACCTAGCAATAAGTAGATACTCAGGGAGTTGGTCAGCTTGTTGTGGGGTTGCCTCCTGGGCGGGGTCAGTAATTCGACCTGGAGGGGGGGGGGGTGGGACCTTGATATAAGCCTAACGGGTATGAATACATTCTGCTGCCTGTCCCCCGACACGTTGAATTAAAGGGTATTATATGATAGGAAACGTCCCCAACAACTTCTGTCCTATTTATTGTTACATAAACAAAGGCATTAGTTGTAAAGAAACGTGTCCAAACGTGTTGTCCTGCCTGGGAACTAACCTGTGACCATTCCATTGTTACCAGCATGAAGAAACCAAGGAATCTACACTTGATGACATCTAAAGTAGGGGAAAAGTTTTATAATTTGGTCGACATTTTTCTACATTGCTTGAGAAAATGGTGATCTGCAGTGCAGTGATTAGCTCACTCGGCTCACAGTCGATTGGTCTCGGGTTAGTTTCCCGAGCAGGACAAGCTTGACGTCTAACCACGTTTTTTTTCATCTGATGCCTCTGTTTAGCGGTAAATATGTACCCGGAAATTAGTCAACTGTTGTGGGTTGAATTCTGGAGAAGGTCAGTCGCTACCCTAGGGGGTGACCTAGGTAAGGTGAGCCAAATACATGAAATATAAACAATTGCTGACTGTAACGATGCATTCTTCAAAAAATATTTTTCTACAATTTATATTTCAATAGTATATAATTAATACCAGTTCTACTACAGTTGTATGTATTGACCAAGAGGTAAAATGTACAGTCATCTACTACCGCAGGCCTCCTACTGACATCCCTACAATACCTCACGAAGTCACCTGACAATGCTTCACGTCTTATGAGTAAGACCAACGTTGAATATGGGAAGTCCACATAAGGCAGAATCTGTTGGCATGTGCCACATCCACTGGTGAGCCCAAGGGAAGCCCTCTCCTAGTTATATACTCTCACTTGACTCTCCTCCAACTCTCAGTTTATTAAGGGAACTAGCCAGGAATACTTATTTTCTCTCAAGGGTTAGCACGTCCGCAGAGACAAGAGGGAAAATATTTTATTCTAAAAGAACTATGACATTTAATAAACGAAAATACAATGGGACCAAATGAGGATGACATCTTAAATTTACTCTTCAACTCTCCACCTGAAACTTATCACCTGAACAAGGTCAAATATCGTAATTCATATATAAACACTTTCTCTGCTGTTAGAACAAGCTCTCGTAAAATATATACATCACGAATATGCCTGCAAAGTCAACTACGATATGTAAACAACTCATCTTTCTTTCTGGCGATGACGCTCTAGAGTCATTATATTTGTCTTATCTATCTAGCACATGTCACTTCATAAAGTCAATAGGTATCACTTGGGGTCACCGCTTTAAGAGCACTGAGTTGAAATAACTCTAAAAGGCTCTTACCTTGCATGGTTCGGGGCGTCGGGCGTGTTTATGTGTCGTCTGCTGCGACACACTGGGGGCCGCCCCCTCCCTAGATGATCTTCTCATACACTTGGCTGTCTTCAGTGACTACTTTCCTGACTTGACGTGTGAGCGTTAATCACAGGTGTCCGTCTCACTGACACACCTTCCAAATTCCTCTATAGACGAGGACCTCCTGTGGGTTGCTTCGACTTTCCCCAGCTATAAACATCAGCTGCTCGGCTCCTTGACCCTGTACACGTCGCCCTCTGGTACACGACGGTGGTTATGTCCGTCGTCACTTTCCTGCCGTTTCTTGCCCTGTCTTGTCACAGTTCACAGGACGCTTTCCATCCATTGCAAGTAGAATTTCAGCTGCAAAAGTTGACGAACGCTGAAACGCACCAGCCACCCTTCTCAGCCACACACTCTTAGCCAATCACGGGCCCCCACCTTCAATCACGTCACAGCCCAGCCTCTTCCTATTGGCAACGGTGACGTCATCCTTGTACCTCCTGTGTAGTGATCCTTGCCGTCATTTTCGCAAATCTTCAAGACATAATGTGAGACCACAGTGATTTCACCATAAGGGTTTATCCACATACAATAACTTGCTCCTCAAAATAAATAAAATATATTATATGCCTGTACAGAAGAATGTACAGGTTCAGTTTAGTTCATTTATTATGCACCCCATACCCTTCTTGTGGACCATTACCTTGAGGTGCTTCTGGGGCTTAGCGTCCCCACGGCCCGGTCGTCGACCAGGCTGTTGGAAAGGGTTACAGAGGAACATAATGGGCTCAGGGACTGAACCCCACAATTCATTTAGCTAAGCTAGTTACAATCTTGATGAGCTAGCTACAAAATTCAATGCACATCGTCACATCAACAATGGGCTCGAGACCGACCATTAGTATAGTTTCTAAATTAAGTAATACAGTTTCTAAATGTCGAGAGTTAGTTCATAATTTCAGTCCGTCCTCCAAAAATGGCGAGGTAAATGTAACAGCACAAATTAGTGCAATTATGTACTATTCATATCAGTCAGGAATTGTACTTATTTCCACTTAGTATTAAATCGTACTGTCAAATATATTGTGAATATTTGAGTTTACCTGAAAATCTGAATATAAAAACCACAACCTCACACAATATATATGTTTGTCCTGCACACCGCCCCCCATCCAGTGGGCAGCGGTGGATTGGTTACGATCACTCAGTTACTACCTACAGTTAGCAAACTGGTGATATTTGGCTAAGTTTTCAGGCAGCATTTCATTTTGAATGAAATATTTACACATCTCTTGAACATTTGTCATAGGGTTGTCTCTGAATTCACGTATTTTTTCGCACTCCATCACGGAGTGAAAGTTTAGATTTAATTATTATTATTCGTTTCCACATTATTCGGGGGTGCGAATAATTTTGTTTGTTTGGAAAATTTGTATCAAGTTTGGAGACTTGTACACATTTCAGTGCAAGAAGCAAGGCAAATAGTTCTGTCTGAAGGGTAGAGGCCCAGTTGTTTATACGGACTACCCACTCAAAATATAAGCCATCGCCCATTGTCAGGACAACTGCGCTTCCAGCTGCACCCGTGGGGCAGTGTTGGGAACCATCAGTGTACCATCAGAGAGAGAATGCACACTGTACTCCCCCCCCCTCATATAGTCTAGAGCAGCTGCACAAATGCAGATGTACCTAAATCTGTTATTAAAAACAAAACAAAAATGCTCTGTGGACAGAGCATCAGTATGGCTTAAACGTTGAGCTTTACCTCTAGAAGAAGCTTGGCCTGATCTCTACTTTGCCTCTTCGGGAGGAAAAGAAGGGATTAAAATTGAAAAGGGTGCCATCTCCCACGGTGCCGTTGTTGTCTCTCTTGTGCCACGAGGTTGGTGCTGGCTGGGTGCCACGGGAGATGGTGCTGGCTGGGTGCCACGAGGTTGGTGTTGGCTGGGTGCCACGGGAGATGGTGCTGGCTGGGTGCCACGGGAGATGGTGCTGGGTGGGTGCCATGGGAGATGGTGCTGGCAGGGTGCCACGGGAGATGGTGCTGGCTGGGTGCCACGGGAGATGGTGCTGGCTGGGTGCCACGGGAGATGGTGCTGGCTGGGTGCCACGGGAGATGGTGCTGGCTGAGTGCCACGGGAGATGGTGCTGGCTGGGTGCCACGGGAGATGGTACTGGCTGGGTGCCACGGGAGATGGTGCTGGCTGGGTGCCACGGGAGATGGTGCTGGCTGAGTGCCACGGGAGATGGTGCTGGCTGGGTGCCACGGGAGATGGTGCTGGCTGGGTGCCACGGGAGATGGTGCTGGCTGGGTGCCACGGGAGATGGTGCTGGGTAGGTGCCACGGGAGATGGTGCTGGCTGGGTGCCACGGGAGATGGTGCTGGCTGGGTGCCACGGGAGATGGTGCTGGGTGGGTGCCACGGGAGATGGTGCTGGCTGGGTGCCACGGGAGATGGTGCTGGCTGGGTGCCACGGGAGATGGTGCTGGGGGGGAGGGGGTGAACTCGGGGTATATAACAGGGCTCCTGGCCCAGTTGAAATATCATATAGACCACAGTTGGCACTGCCGTCATGTTGTTCCTCCTCATATATATATATATATATATATATATATATATATATATATATATATATATATATATATATATATATATATATATATATATATATATATATATATATATATATATATATATATATATATATATATATATATATATATAATATATATACATATGCATATATATAATATATATGTATAATAAAACAGTTACAATAATATAAAGGGGTGGTAGGAGGAGAGAGTTTATACATGTGGGAGCCTCGCAAGGCCTCCCCCTCCCCAGGTGCTTGTCAGCCTGTAAAATGTGGTTGGACAAGTGGCCAGCAGTCAGTGTTGCAAGGCCTCTGACGTCACAGGCTTCAGGCTATTGAGGTCACACCTCAGCAGTTCAAGCAGAGCAGACTTAGAGTGAGGACCTGTGGTTGACGATTATCCTGTGTTTCTGTCATAAACCAAGACGTAGAGCATTGGTGTTATCTCCTATCCTTGCCAACCATGCCTGCCACCACCCACAACAAGCAAACGAAATCAAGGCGTAAGAAACATGCCACATACTCTCTTCTTGGAAGCTGAGGTCACATACCCCCCTCTTCTTGGAAGCTACAAACACAACCAGAGGTGGTAACAGATGTCAATTTTCCGACTTTCTGTTGCCAGGTGTCTGGCAGGGATCTTATCTATGGAGACGAGAAGGTGTATCTGAACGGTGTCAACATCGCCTGGAACAACTACGGCAACGACTTTGGCAACGGCGTCTACGACGGTACTCTGGAGACCTGGGTGCAGGAGATTGGCAGCGCCGGTGGCAACTCCATCCGTGAGTTCTTGTTCCATGTTCTACCATGATAGGAGACTCCTCGTGGTTTGTCGTGTGTCTGATGAACATTTAAGTTTTGTACAAACTATTCGCACATTTAGTACTTAATACAACGCTTCAGAAGCAAATATCGAGCAGTTGCCGGATGTTGACAAGGACCCAAGGGCAGCAACTTCAACCAGCAAATTTATTGACACATGAATCAAAACATATATTTATATCTCTTATCTTCTTTATTACTTTTAATGTTTAACCTGCCCCTAACTGCATATATGCGTATGAACTCAAGAATACCTGCTTTAACCACCATCATTCTATTCTCACTTGTAAGATTTTTCATCATAATATTCTAGCATTGGATCCGTCAACTTTAAACTGAAAGTCTAGATGTGACTCCTGAGGAAGGACCTGCTTAGCTAACACGCTAAGTGTAGTAAACAGCTCATTCCCCATTCTGGAGATCATAGAAAAAATGACTAGGCACGAGCAAACGCCAAGACCTCAGAAGTTTGAAATCCCTTGCACTAGGCCGTCGACCTTCGTAAATCGCTGGAGCGAATCTAACGAGTAGGTCACGGGTTCTCACAACATTTTATTATGTTGTGTGGTGCTATGAATTCAGCTCGAATCTCATGAAGCAGTCTCAAATGGAAAGCGATAATAATTTCAGGCAACATGGCAGAACATATATAAATCATACATAGCGTGCAAGACGTTAACTAATATTTCTCCGGGAACTTGTATATCGGAAAGCGCAAGCAGTACACTTCCCAAATCACCTACGTGTCATCGGGCAGCCGGCCATCAGGCGGTGCCCTCGGCTGAGACATCTTATCCGGCACCCTATAAACAAACTCCTTCACCCGCGACACCCAGACAGTGAACGAGCACCACGGGATCGAAAGCACCCGGGCATCCCGATAAGGGCCCAACACCGGACCCTCACAGGGCACGACCCCAGCAGCCGGGACTAGGCTTCCCCCAGACCGGGACAATGAAGGAGGGGAAGCCGCAGGGGATGTAGGGGCGGCATCGACCCCACCACAAGGTACAGGAGCCGAGGCCCCCCCGGCGCACATCTTTCCGCAACACCACGACGAGGTCCTGAGCATCAGGGGCAACCACCCCACTGCAGAGATCTAACAGCAGGTGACTCAGGAGGGAGGGGGGGGGGGGGGGGAAGAGGTAGCAACTCCGGAGCCCCTCACAGCACCATCATCCATGGCGGGGGACGCCAGCTGAGCACCATACTCCCCTACCTCCTCCCAAGGCACACCTCAAAGGGGAGACACACTCCGAGCCCGCCGAGAACGTTTCGGGACAGGCCGCACCACACCACTCCCAGCAGGCCCCACAGCAGGCACAGCCACCATCTTCACATCCACACAGGTCACACCAGCACCGTCCGAAGAGTCCACATCACCCACACTGTCTACATCATCCAGGGAAACAGCCTCAGAGCACCGACGCGCATGCTTCTGCAAAGGGACGGAAAGAGCAGAACTACAGTCGCCAACACACACAGGCACGGCAGGCACCTCCTCCTGCCGAAGCACCCCCTCCAATACAGCAGAACCTGCGTCCCCGGGAGCCGGTATCACATCCACAGGCGGGGGCGGGACAAACCTCCACCGGGACATTCTGCACTACACGCAGCTCAAGCGACGGCTCAACACCCACACACACCGGCTCAACAACCCCAGGGGCCACAGCAGTCACTAGGCGTGTCGCACGGGCCGTAGAACTCGCCTCAACAGGTGGAGCAGCAGACAGGCAATCAGGCGCCTCAGGCACAGCACCCACTCCGTCCTCAAAACCGTCCGAACGCAACAGGGGCGGAAAATCCTCCGCACGAAAAACATGCATCCTACCAGTTGCTCCCACGTCGCACGCTGCAGCCAGATGACCCTCGTGACAACACTGATAACAGGTGCGCGGTTGACCCCGGTACAGGCAGTGGTGTGTGTAACCCAACACGGACATCGACGACGGTACACTACACTTCAGCGATATCGTCAGGGTGCGGGAGTCGTCAAGCATACCAACACAGTGCCCGGCAACGACCTTGTTCTAACGAACACTTAACACTGTCACAAATCGTTCAAAACAGGAGGTCAAGAAGTCGTCCTGAAATTCGAAGGGGGCACCATGCACCACCACAGACGCCAAGGTGACACTAAGATTCACTACCTTAACAGAACCAGCAGTATCAGGGAGAGGGTAAACACGCGCCTCACACCGCTCGAGAAACGCCTGAAAGGCAGCCTGGAGGCGGAACTTGACCACAGCACGGTTGCCCTGAAGCAGCTGGACGCCCACCAGGTCCGACAGCTGCACCTGAAGCACGTCCACCAGGGCGACACCAACCAACAGATGGTCCACCGGCACCGTAAATGCCAGACCAGCCGACAATGTCCTCTTCACTGGAGGGCGAGAAGTCCCCATGGCTAAGTCAAACGTCACCCTGTCAGTGGCAAACCACCACCAGCTGGGCAAACCAGCAATCACCCAACGTAAACACTAGCCAGGAGCGGAGAGACCTCAGGAACGTCCGACCAGGCCTGTGGTCACCAAGCAACTCCATTACCAGTATCACCCAGACAAAATTTTTACATGTTATTGGTTTAAAAATCAGTTACATAAAAAATGTAATCAATTGTAACTTCAGTAGGATGGACTACGGTATGCAGCGACAATGAATTTCCTTTTACATTGTTGATTAAGGAAAACTTACAATTGTTTACGTTTGTGAGACTGGATGATAGTTTTCCCCGTAAAACTAATGTTGGTTCTGCCTTTATTTTTTACTTTGATATACAGAGTGTTCATGTGAACCATTATGAAGATTCGAATCCCAGTATTCGGTATGCACATTAATTAAAAATAAATGAACTCATAAATCATTTAAAATAAAAATTCAGCCATAACATTTTTAATTTATCTTGAAGTTTGTTTTATGTGACGTCAATATTCTTAAGTTTGTCTAAGTTAAAATATGAATACTTTATCCTGTATATTGCAAAGCAATTTAGCCTAATTTTGTTGGTAAACTGGTGGCAGGTATATGGGTGCATGTGGAGGGTGACAACACCCCGAACTATGACGACAACGGCTTCGTCACCGCCTGCGACAGGACTGGTGACTTCGAGAACAATGTTCTCTCGCTGCTGGACGCTGCACTGGAGAACAACGTGCTGGTGGACTTTTGCATGTGGAACGGCGCCATCCTCAGGAACCAGAAAACCATCGATATGATATATGACGACGCCAAGCTTGACTCATACATAGAGAACTGCCTCACTGTGAGTAATAATTTGGATTTCTTTTAGAGAAACCATACATAAGTGTGCTCATTGTGACTATCTGTTAATGCATTCACTGGTAAAGTTATAATTTCGTGGTAAATTCATCTAAGTCTTAGAATACCAATGTCTACTATATTTTTCATTTACAGCCTCTGATGGAGAAGATCAAGGGGCACCCCGCTCTCGGGTCATACGAGGCCATGAACGAGCCGGAGGGATTATTGAAGATGGGTGGCATTGGCAGGAGTTTGCTCGTTCAGAGCGGTATCATGTCGACCAGATATTAGTGGTATTAAGTCTTATCCAGGAGACGAAGAAAGACAGTGTCTTCTTGAGATGTAACAGACTTACTACACAAGACCACATTGGCTAGCTTGCTATATAGGCTGAAGACCCACGTTGTATCTAAAAAAATAAAAATAAATCCAACCCTGGCACTACTATCCATGGGATATAATTGGCCTATAGTTGTTTCCTATTGCGTTTTGATCGACTAACTTTATTTAAGACTGGTAAAAAAAATTACTATAGTGAATTTACATGTTTCAATTTTGTTTATTTATTTCTCAGCCCCTACTCATCCCGTTGTCGGTAACGGACCCCATACTCATCCCGTGGGCGGTACTTGGACCCCATAACTATCCCGTGGGCGGTACTTGGACCCCATAACTATCCCGTGGGCGGTACTTGGACCCCATAACTATCCCGTGTTGTACTTGGACCCCATACCCATCGTATGGGTGGTACTTGGACCCCATAACCATCCTGTGGGCTATAATGGACCAACTCGTCCTCTCCCATAATATACCGCATTTTGACATTTTGATATTACATGGTTTATTACATTATATTTATTGTAATGCTTTATTACATTACATTTATTACATAATAGCAGCTAACAAACATTCACGTTTTCTATGCGTGGTCGATTGGTTAGGTTCAGTTCGAGCGTTTTAGCATACACTTTTCTGTCCGTTGTTGTAACTCTAGAGGAAGGATTGGTCTGGCATTAGGCTACTGTAGTGACCCGAGCACTGCAGTCTTATTAAGAGTTTGTATAATACAGAGACTTTTGTCATCTCTAGATCTTGTATTTTCCCTTTTACACTGAAAAGTCGATTTTATTTGCGTGTTGCTTCACTGATGTCTGAAGTCTTACAGGTGGAGACCAACAGCGACCCGTGCTACGACACAACCAACATGGATTCTCATGGCGCCGGCTGGGCTGGTAATAACATCCCCATGGAGAGGTGCGTTGAAAGACGGATATGGGGGGTTCTCTTATACAACCAGATTTCTTCATATCATGCATAAAATAACGATTCAAATAAGTTTATTGTACCTCTCCCAGGAACAGGGGGACAGAGAGGTACAGGAGACAGAGAGAAGGACATGAGGACAGAGATAGGGACAGGGGAACAGAGAGAGGGACAGGGGGACAGAGATGGACAGGGGGACATAGAGGGACAGGGGGACAGAGAGTGACAGGGGGACAGAGAGTGACAGGGGGACAGAGAGGAACAGGGGGACAGAGAGAGAGAGACAGGGGGAACAGAGAGAGGGACAATGGGACAGAGAGGGACAGGGAAACAGAGAGAGGGAAAGGGGGGACAGAGAGAGGGACAATGGGACAGAGAGGGACAGGGGGACAGAGAGATGGAAAGGGGGACAGAGAGTGGAACTGGGGGACAGGGGGAAAGGGAGGGGGACAGAGGACAGAAAGAGTGGGCAGGGGGACAGAGAGAGGGACAGGGACAGAGACAGAGAAGAACAGGGGCAGAGGGACAGGAACAGAGGGACAGGGACCGGGTCAGAGAGGGGGACAAGGGGACAGAAAGAGGGACAGGGGACAGAAAGGACGGACAGGGGGACAGAAAGGGGGACAGAGAGAGGGACAGGAGGACAGAGATAGGGACAGGGGAACAGAAAGAAAGGACAGGGGGACAGAGAGAGGGACAGGGGGACAGAGAGACGGACAGGGGGAACAGAGAGGGAGAGAAGGACAGGGGAACAGGGAGTGGGACAGAAAGAGGGGACAAGGGAACAAAGAGAGGGACAGGGGACAGAGAGAGGGACATGGGGACAGAGATAGGGACAGGGGAACAGAAAGGTACAGGAGACAGAGAGAAGGACATGAGGACAGAGATAGAGACAGAGGAACAGAGAAAGGGACCGGGGGACAGAGATGGACAGGGGGACATAGAGGGACAAGGGGACAGAGAGTGACAGTGGAGACAGAGAGTGACAGGGGGACAGAGAGTGACAAGGGGACAGAGAGAGGAACAGGAGGACAGAGAGGAACAGGGGGACAGAGAGAGAGACAGAGGGACAGAGAGAGGGACAGGGGGACAGAGAGAGGGACAATGTGACAGAGAGATGGAAAGGGGGGGGGACAGAGAGAGGGACAATGGGACAGAGAGGGACAGGGGAACAGAAAGATGGAAAGGGGGACAGAGAGTGGGACCGGGGGACAGGGGGAAAGGGAGGGGGGACAGAGGACAGAAAGAGTGGGCAAGGTGACAGAGAGAGGGACAGGGACAGAGACAGAGGGACAGGAACAGAGGGACTGGGACCGGGTCAGAGAGAGGGACAGGGGGACAGAAAGAGGGACAGGGGACAGAAAGGGGGGACAGAGAGAGGGACAGGGGGACAGAGATAGGGACAGGGGAACAGAAAGAGCAGACAGGGGGACAGAGAGAGGGACAGAGAGACGGACAGGGGAACAGAGAGGGACTGGAGGGACAGAGAGAAGGACAGGGGAACAGGGAGTGGGACAGAAAGAGGGGACAAGGGAACAAAGAGAGGGACAGAGGGGGACAGGGGACAGAGAGAGGGACAAGGGAACAGAGAGAGGGACCGGGGGACAGAGATGGACATAGAGGAACAGGGGACAGAGAGTGACAGGGGGGACAGAGAGTGACAGGGGGACAGAGAGTGACAGGGGGACAGAGAGAGGAACAGGAGGACAGAGAGGAACAGGGGGACAGAGAGAGACAGGGGGGACAGAGAGAGGGACAATGGGACATAGAGGGACAGGGGAACAGAGAGATGGAAAGGGGGGACAGAGAGAGGGACAGAGAGAGAGACAATGGGACAGAGAGATGGAAAGGGGGACAGAGAGTGGGACCGGGGGACAGGGGGAAAGGGAGGGAGGACAGAGGACAGAAAATGTGGGCAGGGGGACAAAGAGAGGGACAGGGGGACAAAGATGGACAGGGGGACAGAGAGGGGGACTGGAGGAAAGGGGGGGAGATGTATGAAGGGGAATGTTTGCGAGAGATGGAGAAGGGGTATTTAGAACGGTAAGTTAGAGAGGGGGGCAACTAAGGCGCATCATTGAAAAGCAAATGAGCATCATTGCAATAGCAGGAGCCACACACATCTTCAACCTGCGTTGTTGAGACATTGTCAATTAAGTGATGTCCAATAACAGTATCTTCGGTATTTAATCGATACCTTTAAAAATACTGGAAATATTGAAAGATATTAATCCTCTTGTGCAACGCACACAAGGGCAACAGCTTTTAGCTCTACAAGTAGCAATATAAAATAGAGAACAGGCGATTGTTTTTCGCTAATAGTATAATAAACCCCACGGGCCCACCCACCCGCTGAAGCCGTAAATGCCAAGACATTACTTCCGTTTAAAATTAAGCCGGAAAAATCCTCAGGTATCTGGAGGATGTGGGAGGCCTTTGATCAACCGCCGACTTCCTGCCCCGTCGAGGCCACCACAGATGGTCGCCCTCAGCCAAATTCATGTAAAACATGTATGTGTGTGTATTAAATATGTTGATTTATTATTTGCAGGATTTAGCTGTTAGCTCTTGGACCCCGCCTTTCTAAGCGTCGGTTGTCTAATGTACCGACTCTCGGCCTCTTTTCCTCCGTCATATCTAAACAACATATATTTTTATCTAACACACACACACAGCCCCAGGATGCAGCCTGTAGCAGCTTTCTAACTTCCAGGTTCCTATTTACTGCAAGGTGAATAGGAGCATTAGTGTGTGTGTATGTATTCACCTAGTATTCACCTAGTTGTGTTTGCGGGGGTTGAGCTTTGCTTTCTCGGCCCGCCTCTCAACTGTCAATCAACTGTTTACTAACTACTTTTTTTCCACACCACACACACACACACACACCAGGAAGCAGCACGTGACAGCTGACTAGCTCCCAGGTACCTATTTACTGCTAGGTAACAGGGGCATTCAGGGTGAAAGAAACCTTGCCCATTTGTTTCTGCCTCGTGCGGGAATCGAACCCGCGCCACAGAATTACGAGACCTGCGCGCTATCCACTTATGTGGATAGCACTATGTTTGCCTGTGTGTACGTGTGTGTGTGTGTGTGTACGTGTGTGTGTGTGTGCGTGTGTGTACTCACCTAGTTGTGCTTGCGGGGGTTGAGCTCTGGCTCTTTGGTCCCACCTCTCAACTGTCAATCAACTGTTGTACAGATTCCTGAGCCTACTGGGCTCTATCATATCTGCATTTGAAACCGTGTATGGAGTCAGCCTCCACCACATCACTGCCTAATGCATTCTATCTGTTAATTACTCTGACACTGAAAAAGTTCTTTCTAACGTCCCAGTGGCTCATTTGGGTACTAAATTTCCACCTGTGTCCCCTTGTTCGTCTACCACCCGTGTTAAACAGTTTATCTGTATGCACCCTATCAATTGCTATGAGAATTTTGTAGGTTGTGATCATGTCTCCCCTTACTCTTCTGTCTTCCAGTGTCGTGAGGTGCATTTCTCGCAGCCTTTCCTCGTAACTCATGCCTCTTAGTTCTGGGACTAGCCTATTGGCATACCACTAAACTTTTTCAAGCTTCGTCTTGTGCTTGACAAGGTGTGTGTGTGTGTGTGTGTGTGTGTGTGTGTGTGTGTGTGTGTGTGTGTGTGTGTGTGTGTGTGTGTGTGTGTGTGTGTGTGTGTGTGTGTGTGTGTAACACATTCGTACTTATGTGGTACGTGTGTACCACATAATTGTAAGGCGTTTGCTGAATTAGAAAAGTCGGCTAGCAGTTCACCCTTAACAACACAATTAACTCATTACATAAAAAATACGTGGCTGTGCAACAGTGTGTGGGAATTGGGGAACTGGTGTGCATTCAGACGACTGTTGAGGACCAACAATGACGTAGAAGGCTGGCACCAGCGTCTGAATCAAAGGGCAGTGAGGGACAACTTGGCTTTATATATTTTAATCCCCTTACTGTGCCGTGAGGCGTCCCTGGTAACCTTGCAATACAACTGGTTTCTGAACAAAAGCTGAAGTCCAGTCGCCGCAAGGGCAATAAAGAAAAACAGGAACATTTGTGAATTGGGAAGGTCATTCCACATTCTGGGTCCCTTGATTTGTAGAGCGATCCTAGTTTGGTTAAGTCTAACTCTTGGAATATCAAATAGGTATTTCTGATCGGGG